AGAAATCACCAGTTGCTTGTGGAGTTTCATTCAACTCCAAGCTGCAAAAGGTATCAAGGAAATAAGAATTTACAGCGACAATTGTGCCGCCCAAAATAAGAATCAATATTTATTCTCCATGTACGTAATGGCATCCATTAGATATGGATTGAAAATTACTCATAGATACCTAGAGGCCGGGCATACTCAAATGCAATGTGATGCCATGCATGCCAGAATTGAATTATTTATGAAGAATACAGATGTGTTTGTTCCCTCCCAATGGATCACTGCAATGAAAATGGCCAAAGTCAAAAACCCTAAATACATTGTGAAAGAAATGAGTCAAGAGGATTTGTTTGACTTTGCTCCCTTAGCAGCTCATCAAGATTGGGAAAATGTGAGAACTTCCCTGTTTCGAGAAGTGGTGGTTGATGGTAAGGACCCCGGCTTGATCAAGTACAAGACCCATTTCGACAGGGAGTCTGTTACAAAGCAAATCATTCTACCCAAAAGAGGAAGGCCGGTCAACTGGAAGACCTTTCCACTTCATAGGAAATATCCACAACTTTTCCCAGTACCTAAAAAGGTTCTCAGTGGACTGCAAAATCTTTGCAAAACAGGGGCAATACCAGCTCAACATGCAGAATTTTACCAAAATTACCTACCCAGTCTCGATCAGCAGGGTGTTCAGGTGGTAGAGCCTCCAGCTTCTGATGTATCAGATATTGAGTCTGACGAGGAGGACTTTGTTATTAGTGAAGAAGAAGACGCTGCAAATGAAGGCTCTGATAATTAATAATGTGATTTTAAATGTGATTCTAAAATGTAACATTTTAACCTGTAAAATGTTAACCTTACCTCAAGTAGACAAATTTTCATTTTTATTTGTTAGTTATAGGCCTTAAAATCAAAGAAAAATAATTTTTCTTTTTATATAGTACTGATGTTGATCTCGTACCCTTTAATTACGTTGAGTTTAGTGTACTTATGTCATGATATTGCATGGCAATTTTATGTTCCTATTTGTTACCATTATTTAGATATTTGAGTGCACTAAATATTTGTATGTTTGTTTGTACTGATCTAGTAATAAGGGCAGTCAACTTAAAAGGATACAATGATAATGATAAATCATTTTCTGGTCTTTTCTTAGTTTAACTTGCAAGTCATTACCACTTGTTCCTTCTTTAGTTCTTTAAGCCCTATGTGATTGTCAAATTTAAACGTTACCTTAAGTAGAATTTTTTTTATTTTTATTTGTTAATTATAGCTGACAATGGTTCAAGAAGAATATTTGTTCTTTTTATCTAGTACTGATAGTGATCTCTTGTGCCCTTTAGTTACATTACACCTTCTAAAGCCAAATTTTAAAAATTTATTGTACAAGATGTTATCTCTTTTTAAATAAAATAACAAACAACATAAACATACATTTTCTTAATGATTGAATCTCCAGATCCTGAGTAAAAAAAATTGGCAGTTGCAGGTGACACCGTTCCATGGTGGGCTTATATTTCTATGAGTAAAAGAGAAGAATTCTTTAGAACTCCTGAAACAGTGAGCAGTGTTTCGACACACATTTTATTGCTATCTCCGTTACCTTTATCATGGTGTTTGTGAAACATGGAAGGTGTGTTTGCTCATCCACAAAAAGACCAGAAATTTAATCACTTAACCTTTATTAAGTGTAGCAATAGAAAGAATCACCTATGCTCAAATTGTAGATCTTATGTAACTTTCATGACACCATTCCTTACTCAGAGCAGCACGGGGATGGGGTGGTCGGGGATGTGCTTCGTGTTGCATTCCAAATGGCCGAGCGGCGCCGGGCGTAGAAAGGCGCTCTACTCCCTGAAGGTGCCCTCACAATGAGCGGGAGGCGATGCTCGCGACTTGACCTGCGCCTCGTGATCGTGGACGCGCAGCTCACGAGTCACCAGGAGCTGTCGGCGAGCGTGCTGGCGCACCAGGGCGAGGTCCGCAGCGTCATGGACGCGGCGCGGCCCGAGGACTCGCTGCCGGGCTCCCTGCGCGAGCGCCTCAGCGAGGCCAGCCTGCTGCTCAACACGCTCCCCAACGAGCTGGCCGAGCGCGCCGCCTACCTGCAGAGCAACGCGACCCTCCGCCGCGAGCACCAGGCCCTCAAGGAGGACAAGCTGCACGCCTGGGTCAAGGAGGCGCGCGGCCGCCTGGACCGCGACGCGCACGGCGTCGACCCGCAACGTGGTCTCGGGCCTCGAGATGCACAAGGTGATCTTCGGCAGCGAGCAGGCCATGCGCGAGCTGCTGTCGCACGACATCCAGCAGGCGGCCGACAAGATCTAGCCGTCGCTCTGGGCCACCCAGCAGGAGGAGCTCACCAACGAGCAGACGCACCTGACGCAGCTGCTCAAGTACACGCTCAACTCGGCCAAGTCGCGGCAGGCGCAGCTCGAGCAGGACGCCCAGGTGTGGCACGACTACTGCGCCGCGCTGGAGAAGGTGCGCTCGCTGCTGGAGCTGTACCAGTTCACCGACGAGCCCGTGTCCAACCTGGCGGGGCTGCACTACAACCTGGACAAGGTGACGCACGCGCGGCAGGACGTGGCGGCGCACCAGTCCGACGTGGACCTGCTCAACGAGCGCGCGCGAGAGCTGACGCGCCTCGCGGACGCCGCCAACCGCACGCACGTCGAGCAGCAGGTCGCCGCCGTCAACCGCGAGTGGGAGGAGGTGGTCAGCAGCGTGGAGGGGCGCCGCGACGCCCTGGCGCGCCTTGCCCAGCGACGCCGAGGACACGGCCCACCACCTCGACCTCGTGGTGCGCTCCAAGGCGCAGCTCACGGAGTCCACGAAAACGCTGCAGGAGCTGATCCACGGATTGGAGGCCCTGCAGACGCCCATCGACGAGCTGGTGGCGCTGTCCAGCACCATCGTGGCCTACCTCAGCATCTCGTGCGAGCCCGCCTCGCGCGCGCTGCGGGACAAGCTGCACCACTTCACCGAGCGGCACGCCAAAGCTCATCGCGGACCTCAAGCTCAAGCTCGCGCAGGCCAACGCTGATCTTGAGAGTCTCGAGAGGCTTACCAGCACGGCTTGGCCGCACGGTATCGCCTCCCGCTCATTGTGGGGGCACCTTGAGCACCCCGAGCCCCGAGCACCCTACGCCCTCCGCACCCAGGATAGGGGAGGTAACACAGCAGCCATTACCAGCACGTCGTCCATGGTCGATGGAAGGCCGTAGTGACGGCGGGCGTAGAGAGGCGCTCTCCTCCATGAGCCCGTAGCCGTCGTCATCGCCTGGTACAGGGGCATCCTGCAGTACGCGATGGTCACTGCTCCCCCCCCCCCCTCCGCGCGGCTGTCGGCTGCAACGGTTGAGGTCCTGGTAGGGACGTACTGTTTCGGCTCGGTCGTTTAGGTGCGTGCGCTGCCCGCGGAGCACGAGGAGAGGCGAGTACGCCCCGTCCCGCCCTTCATCTGCCAGCTCCATAGAAATACATCTGAAATAAATCCATGGCCAGCAGGGGTCGTTAGAGAGAGGATCTTCCGCCTTCTCCGCGTGGCGCAGGCAAGATGTCATGGATGGGACGACCCTGCACACCCTGTACTACGCCCACCTGGAGCACAGCGGCAGCGGCTTAGTGTGGATTTGGATCAAATGCTTGATTTTTAGTGAAGAACAACGAACTTAGTAGGGTTCGCCCCCCCCCCCCTCCACCCTCTTTCCCCTCAGCAAGTCGAGGTATGCAACCCACACTCCGAAGGCGCCAAAGGTGTTGCCTACCTGGCTGCCTATCAGGCGTTTGCCGAGGAATTCAGGCTCAAAGTTACGGCCGCAGCGTTTTGGGTGATATAACGATTCTCTCAGACTCTCGGCCGCAAAGTAGTGGTCACCCGCCACCGCTGCAATACCGAAGTCGGTCCCCCTTTCGTCAAAGTGTACAGTCAGACACGGTAGACACGAGTCACAAGTAGTGCTTTTTCTTTCTTTAATTATTGTGGTGGGTCAAAGAAAACCCCCTGCGTCGGGCTATCCCGCACTTCCGTGTACCTTACCTAGGATAACTAGAGAACGGATCATCGCTTTCGCATGGAACTTACATGGGCAAGTACAGAAATGTATGAGGAATATTACCAGACCATTCTTTGGTTTATAGATAGCCACCCTGATTTGTCATTTCGGTTCAAACTTTCAATCGCAGTTTTCTCGGATCGCGCGCCGAGCTAGATAGGATGGTCTTGCGGCATACCGAAACAGATAGGATGGTCTTGCGGCATACCGAAACAGATAGGATGGTCTTGCGGCATACCGAAACAGATAGGATGGTCTTGCGGCTGAGCGAAACAGATAGGATGGTCTTGCGGCTGAGCGACACAGATAGGATGTTGTTGCACGGACACGACGATATGTTATAGTTATAAAATATAAGATGGCATACAATGCATTACTTACATTAGGGAAACATGAACCAAAACTGAAGGATTTTTTCCCAAAAAAAACTCAAAAAAGTCTCATCATGGACTATGCATATGGATATATACATTTATACATTCATACATTTACACATTCATACATTTTTACATTTATTCATAAAATCACTCTGGGTTCATAGAAATCCCGGTTGTCATCTCAGCGTCGCGAACAGCTCTAGCAATTTCTTCTGCTGAGTTGTTATTTGTTGCTATAACCATCCAGTTCCCATGGCGCACGTTGGTGTTAAGGGTGGCCATGGGGAGCCCCTCCCGGTCAATGGTGTACACATAGGTAACGGGGAGCCTTGTTGCAGACCATCTGAGGATGTCTGCAGTTTGCTCGTCCACAGTGACCAATCCATCTGGAAAGAGCAAAAGTAATTGAAAGGACGGCGTGCGAAAAAAGTGCATCACAACTAAGGGATCGTCCAGAAATTACGACCATTTTGCTCCGTATTCATTCTGCAAATTACGGGAGATTTGCGCCTGTGAGATTCGGGGTAGGCGACCGTTCAATACAAGTATGTACTGCAGGTACGATGTTGCCTACCTAGGAGGCACCGACAGCTTGCATTTCGCTGAACTTAAATCACCATGAAACAATTCATCCAAATCACCCCATACCTTTCACCCATGTTCACCCCTACATTAATAAACAGTTACTGCAAGGCCAAAGGGAAACAGCATTACCAACCACGTATAATCCAACTTTATAACTGGCTGAACTTGGACGTACTTTCTGGATGATCCCTAAAATATTGTTGCATGCACGTTACCTCCAACTGTGTGGAAAATGTCCAAAGCTTCTTTGTCAAATTCAGTCAGGGGCTCCTCGAGCTCCCACGGCTCCAGCTCCTGCTCCTCCTGGATGTCCAGGTTCAGGAGCACCTGACGATGGGGTGGGGGGGAAGGACCTACAAAAAATGCATGCAACTTTAATGTGAGCATGCGAGTATGCAATCCGCCCGCTCGCCTGCGTGCGGTACAGTATAGACAAAATAAAGGAAGGGCTCCGTGGACTACCCTGTATATCCTCAGAATATTGGAGGGACGTGGCCCGCCTGACAATATAGTATGAAAGGAATACTAACAGGCCAGTTCTGCATCCAGCTGCTCCAACGGACAATTCGTCGTCGGCTGGGGGTCCGGCTGGGCGGGGCGGCACACCTGAAAGAACTGATAAGACATTTTGTTCTTATTATTGCTATATACTCCCATATAGCACCAACGAATGTGCCCAAACATGAGTTAATCAGTGAGCGAGTGGGCTGTATAGTAGCAAAAACATACGTTGGTCAGGACCGCTTGCCGCGTTTGCTGCGGCACCTGCTTCTGCGACGGCGGAGTCGCTGACGAGGGTTGAGGGTCTGGACACACCCTCTTATTGGCACTAGGTGTCCCAGCATCCTCATCCTCACTAATTTCATACGCCGATCCTGGAATACGAAGCATAAGATGGAGCAAGATCAACCCGAGGCCGCTCGCGTGGCTTTGTGCTTTCGTGCAATAACAGTCGAGGAGCAATCGTGCGGCCCGTGCAGCCGCTGGTCTCACAGAGCAGCTGGTACTCACACTCTTGTGGGTACTGTACTAGGTGGTTGACTAACGCCGCGCACATTTGTAGTTATTCTGTGCCGCGCATGCACGCGTGCGAGCGGAGGTGCCTACTGGCAAGGAACCGCAGGCAGCGAGGGTAGGCAAACTCACCCGCACCAGTGCATGCGGTACAGTATAACTACAAATGTGCGCGGTGTGAGTCAACCACCTAGTACAGTACCCACACGAGTGTGAGTACCAGCTGCATGAATGCCTCATGCGACTGAAGTGGGAAGCGGGCGTTTACCTGTGCTTGTGTGCAATACAACAGCATGTACGTGCTTGCACAGTGGGCTCCAGTCGGGGCACGTGCAGACATACATGTGCCCACACAAATTTGTTGGGCAGCTGAAGCAGCGGCTGGCACAGCAACAGAACGGATTCTCCGTCCTGAAAACGGTGTACCACCGTTGGGAGTTGTTGCTGCTCCTGACCTGCCAGTGCACACCAGTGCGCCTTACGACGAGGCCCTCGTCAGTTGCCCTTTTGTGTCTCTCAGGTACATCAGTGGCTTTACCTGAAATTGAAACGAAATTTTAGTTCGGGAATATTGGGGAATATTGGGAATAGTGTGACATGGGGGGGGGGGTGGAGGGGCAAAAAGTGGCCTAAATCGCGTGAAGTAATATGTGGACGTCCCCTTATTGGAAAACAACACACCTTTCCGCTGTGATGCGGAACGCTTTCTCGCTCCGTTCTTCTCTGGTTGCACAGGCTGGTCGCGGGCGGCTTCAGCCAGGGCTGCTCCTCCGAGCTGAGGTTGGGCAGGCTGGTCAGGGGCCAGGACTGCTCCATGCTGGGGTTG